TTTATCTTGTAAGATTGATTAACAAGATTGTGTTCTAATTTTACTGTCCAGTACAGGGGTCGATACTTATTCTGATTATGATATAGACCTAAAAACTCCAGTATCTTGTTTCCTCTCCCCGATAAAATAAGAGAACTACAAGAAATAACTTGGATCATTTGAAGCCATTGGAGCAGAAGCTATCAATACTGTACATAGCAAAAGTACATTTTTGTATGTATTTATTAATCCCCAGAATTAAATGTGAACTCCATGTGTGTACATCCATTTTACACATCAAAATCAGTGTACTAGACAGGGGCGATCACTCAGCATAAATAAACACTTATAATGTCTCCTGTGACTGATGTTGGTGTTTACCAGGCAGGCCTAATGAAAAGATATTGGTCCATTGGAAATTGACCCATGTTTGGAGCAAAAAAAATCAAGATATCTCGACCACTACTGCGTTCATTTGGACCTCTTTCTTCTTAAACCTTAATTTTGTATTACAGTATTACCGCCTCTAGTTACAAATCATCCAAAGGCCTTTGACAAATGCACATAACCAGAATAACCAGAATAAACATCCAACTGCCATAGCAACGCAACCAGATCATCAGTGTCCCAGCAGCGCCGAGAGTGAAAACATGGTCCCATGACCCTTTTTTAAAGTTGCCATTTTCATCACTGACTCTCGCTAACATTTGTTCATATGATACGGTTTGTGACATAGATTAGATTCCATCCATCTTTTAATATCTGGAGAGGATGTACTTCACACCACAATCACAGGACCATTCAGGCAGCCGTGACAACTCCTGTCTTTATCAACATCATATTTTGATACATTGGGCAAGTCTGTTTGGTCCCCCAATAGGCAAAGTCTTAGTGATACAGGTACTGTCGGACCTAACCACCGATAAACCGTAATTCTGACATCACACTGATGTTGCTTTCATTCTTTCAGCTTCAGAGGAATATTTTGGCCTCCAACCCTCGTGTCACCCGCTTTCATATAAACTGGGAGGGCTCAGCGGACAAGATGGAGGACAGCGAGAACGTTGACCCGTCCCCCAACATCAGCAGCATGCTCCCTCCGTCCTGTATACCAGGGAAGATGCCACCTCTTGGACTGATGCCGGACAACTCCATGGACTGCATGTAAGAATCATCAGATTAAAATGATGGACAAGAAGCTCTTCATATCCATACACTCGACCACATCACCAACACACATTTGGACAAGGAGCCAATGAGTGTATCTTCTTAACATGTGGACATTAACAGGAAGCAGGGATCTTATTTTTATACAGTGTACACAAATGGGAAGCGGAATTGTTACAAACTGTTTTTCTTTCTTGTTCACTCTCTCTTTCAACACACAAATCTGCACAACCAACACTGCCTTATTTCACCATATCTCTATCTTGGATGGTAAAAGCTCAGCCAGAGGAAGTTTGAGTCATCAGGGTGGGGCGACATAAAGACAGAACCACCATATCCTCACAGCCCTGAGACTTGCTAGTCATATTCATACTCATGTTGACCTGTTTGGTATCCATACTCTGCTGTTCATTTTGTCCCCTTGAGCACAGATCAAAGCTATGGGCAGTGCTCCATATGTCAAAATAGATGTATAGTTAAGCATTTTATTGTTCTGATGGTTTTGGCTTGTCTGATGTAAATTTGCAGCATCTGGAGTTCCTGTGGAAGCAAATTATCGAATTGGAAAATGGCTCTTGTTTAGAGGTAAAGAAGTAGCTTTACTTACTGTTAGCTGGGTATCTTATGCAGAGTACAACCGTGTTTCACCCTCAAGTTATCCAGATAACTCTGTAAATCTGATTCTTTAAATAGGACCCAAATCAGAATAATGTTCTTTAAAATGTTGCATAAGATGTGTGTCTGTAATTATGCACAAAACATGTGGGTAAAGGAGTCAAAGGAGAAATGAATGCCATATTGCAGTCCAGTTGATTTAAGCATACATATGTAAATAATGCTCTCCCGGCGCTTATTTTGTCTTCAAGATGAGAAGACGTATTTTCTTTTTGTACTTACTATATATTCTCTGCCTCAGTATTTGTAACAACAGTGGTGGGGTTAATAAATTTTGTTTTGTGGACCTTGTGCTGCTTTCTGGCAATCACCACATCTTACATCCACCTTACCTAGTGAGGAAGGAAGCACAGCAACGGCAGTGAGACTCAGCGTGTGTGCATGCATCAGCCCACTCTTTCCCCTCCCCACTCCAGCTCCTTTCTTTTTTCCAATTTCATTCATAAAATGCAGCAGCATCTCTCTGCCATTTTCACTCTAGCCTCAGGTTGCTAGGCAACTGCAGTACAAAAGGGAGGGGGACTGTCTGCTCTCACCCATTTTATCTCCTCTTAGTTGAGGAGACTAACTCCGCCGTCCTTCCATCTGTTACCTGTTAAGCAATACTCAGTGAAAAACGTGGTTATAGCGAGAGGCCAGGTTGAAAAACTGCATATTCATATTTGCCATCAATATCTAAATGCAGCATCACCTGCCCTGCCCTATAATATCTGTCTGTGCTAGTAGGTGAGTAGACAGCATGGTCAGGGTTTGTGTACCAGTTGAGAAGACAGCAAATGAATTACACAAGTAATTTCCAAGGAAGGACAACATTTGCTGCTTAAGGCTTCTCAAATGTTAGAATGTGTTGCTTTCTCTGTTTGATATCACTGTAATTTTAATATCTTTTGATTTTAGTATATTGAGTGGACAAAACACAAAAACAAAACTATTTGAGAATGTCACCTTGGTAATTGACAATGAAAACAAATTAGTTGCAGCCCGAGACTGCAGTTTTGAATCCAGAAGGTCCAGAGAAATGACATGATTAACCTGATAGGAAGTAAGTATAGTTGTTTTATGTAATGAAGAAGGTGGCTGTGGAACCATAATATGATGGTGGCAGACCTTGTAATAGCTGTAGGGCTCTCCTATTTATAGCTTGGGTGTTTGTTCATAAACCTGGGGTCCCTTTTAAATTCCGAATTTTACCAAACACAAGCTCAAATTATTATTGAAATGAGATATTCACATGCAAATCTATGTGGAATTGGGCCTTTTGAGGATCCTGATAATAAGGGGGCCCTTGGGCATCTGCTGCTCTGCCCTGTAGCAGGCCAGGTGTGGGGAGAGGATTAGAAAGGTGCTGTTGAAGGACTGTGACAGTAAAGGTCGTCGGTATACAGACAGCATGTGGCTCTGTGTCTTCAACCAACCACCGACTGTAAAAACAAACAAAAGGAAGTCTTTTATTCGATTAATTTCCCTTCAGATAAAGTCTTCCGTCCGTCTGCGATCTGTTTAAAGTCCTGCCAGCCAGACCGCGCCGCGCGTGCGTTAAATTCTGACCAACATTTCTAAAAATAGCTCGCGGTTGACGTCACTCAGCCAAACGTGTATGAGTCGCTTGGCGGCGGTGTGGTGGGGAGGGGTGGAGGGAGGGAGGTATTCTTGTCAACCGCTGCCGACAGCCAATAGATATCCTCGCATTCACCGAGATTCCCACGGTTCGGCCGCGCCAAGCCAATGGAGGAGAGCAACCGGAGAAAGTGGGCGCGTACATGGTCGGGAGGAAAATAATCGGTGACGTTCCCCTCGCTTGTGTTTGTAGGGCGGCGGGACTCTGCTGTTTCTGATGGATCGCGAAGAGCCAATCAGAGCTCTCCGTGGGACAGCACCGTAGAGATGTGGCCAATCCGTTGCCTAGCTACACCTGTCAATCAACCCCGGTTCTGGCGAGTGGGCGGGGCGTTCGGTCGGCTGTAGTTCCGTCATCTCGCTCGTCTCCGAGGCTACAGGGGGCCAATGTTGATTTGGGCTAATTCCCGTCGTTGTCGGACCCCGCCGATGTTTCATTTTTAAAGCTGGGTTCGGTAACGAAAAGCGGAAGGCTTTCGGTTGAGAATACCGCATCCCCGCCGTCGGTATCGCTGTTTTTTGGGCTGGGGGAGAGGTGGGGAGCCGGGGGGCCTCGCTCGGAGGGGGCTGCAAGGAGGGACAGGAGAAGACTGGATCCTCCGTGTTCAGGCCAGCTGCGCCGAGGTCGGCCTGACAGTCGAGTGAAGCCCCAGCGACCGAGAGACCACAGAGACAGCTCCCCGTGGATTTAAGCTCCATATCGGCCGCCGGTTGTTGATGAGC